TCATTTAAGAGATAAAAATGCAATCGAAACAAAGATAAAAGTAGAAAAGGAAAAACATACAGGACACAGTAAAATAGCTTCATAAAACTATAGAAGAGCTCACCCAACATTGTCAAATGGCGAACAAGAGAAGAAGCAACAACAAAATAGCAACTGCCATATCAATTAATAACAAAGAAACTTGGAAAAGCAACCGATTTCATCATTACAATCACTTAAGCCTGGGAAAGAATGACAAAATGCTGGAAAAAATGTACGACACCTCATCCACAGAGGTCTCTTGCCGACCTGCCCCAAGAAGGAGCTGAATTTCTGGTTAACCCAATCAGATATGACAAATCCCACATTACCAATACACCCCTCAAAAAAAAGCAAAAACTCTAAAATACTTAAAGGCTCCAGATGTAAACAGGGACAAACCAGAGTGCTAAAACTGTAACTTCACCGGATTTCTGAGCCCAACCACCACAATAGCAAGCCAACTATTTCATTGTTTCGCAAGTAGGCCACGTCCAGCACATGAAGTTGCGTCCAATGGATTTCGTGCCCAGCACATGAAGCCCAGGAAACCACCAAGGCCAATTCACCAACCATGTCATGACAAGCCAATCACCTACCGCCACATGGGCGAACTATGATTCCTACGAAGCAAGGGGGCTTCCACACACCAATCACATCATGCCACATCACTAGGAAGCCAATCCCCTCTCGCCATGTGACGAATGACCAAATCGACGTGGCAAGGGGGCTTTCACCCTTAGTCTATATGGTTAATAATTCATATTTTATAAAATAAAATAGAACTTTAATTGATTAAATGAGTGTTTCCTTGAATTGTAAGCACCTTTGATTAATTCAAATCTCTTTAAATTAATAAAATTTGTATGGTCACAATGTTATTAGTTTATAAATGTTTACTGTAATTAGAAATTTAGTATAGATGTATTAATAAATTTAGCATAACTAATTAATAATTTCTATTAATATACATGCATAATTATTAGTATAATTGATAATATTAATTATATTACATATAAACTAATTTACATTAAATAATATTTATAATATTATTATTATAAATTTATGATTAATTAAATTAAATATATATATAATTATACATTTAATTTTTTTTTAACGAATGGCGGAGCGAGGAAGGGTGAGGCATACTTAGAGCTGTTAAACGGACCGAGCTGTTCAGTAGCTCGGCTCGTTTCGACTCGTTCGTGTTCGTGAAAGTCTCGTTTGAAACCTTAAACGAATCAAGTTCGAACGCATTTTTTTGTTCGATTAATAATCGAGCGAACATGAGCATGTTCACGAGTTTTAATATACGTTCGCAAACACGAGCATTTTCGCGAATTTTAACGAACGTTCACGAAAATGGACATAATTATCATTTGACAAATTTTAGGGTTAATTTTATGGCTGGACTTTTATATTTGGAGGGCAAATTGCTTTGTTTTATTTGTTGTTTTTATGTTAATGTTAGTTATATAGTTAATGAATAATAGAATTTAGTCATTTAGTGCTTTAATTATTTTTGAGAATGATTAATGATTTGCATGGCATATTTAAGGTTTAAAATAATTTGAATTCGAGCATGTTCGCGAACGGTTCGTTTATGTTAAACGAGTCGAACACAAACTCGAATTCGAACACGAATTTGCTTAACGAACCGAACACGAACACAGGTTTGGAGTTTGAAAATTAACGAACGAACACGAATGTTGTTCGAATCGCTTAACGAATAGAGTTCAAACATGAGATACTCGGTTCGATTCGGCTCGTTGACAGCTCTAGGCATACTTCCCTGTCCCTGGCCCTGTTTTCTAGTCGGGGAGGCCCACGCCCCGCCCCATGAGCCCCGGCAGGCAGGCATTCGTCCAATTGTCATACCAACCTGACTGAACCCGGGTTAAACCCGAATAATTCCCCCGTTTCGCCGAAGCTGCCATTGATTTTCATTTTTCACCAAATACAAAATTTTCACCACACACTGGGTTTAGGGTTTTAGCTTGCTCATCCCCGAGGTTTTCTGGACGTCAGAATATGATTATTCGCAGTCTTCTGCTCTCCAAGAATCTGAATCCCACAAGGTATTTACTCAAAGGTTCTCATTCCTTGACCAGAATTTCTAGTGTTGGTTCAGAATTTGTTCCATTAGTTAATTGCAATAGCATAGTAAAGTTCAGATTTTTATCCTACTTGTGTTCTTTAAATTCAGTTCCCTCTGAAAAATGTGGGTTCTCCATTTCCAAGAACCCAAATTTTATAAGAAATTATTGCTCAGGAGGGGATAAGAGTGGTGAGGAGTCAAATGAGTGGACTGGAGAAATAGATTATTTGGATGAATCAGGTGGTGTCATTTACTCTGGAAAGGGTGTAAGATCTGTTGAGCCGGGTATAGATGATCATGTGATGGTGGGAGGGTTAAAGAAGCCTATTTTGAATGCTTCAGCTGTGGCTAAGATTGTTGAGATAGTGAAAAGATGGAAATGGGGTCCTGATATGGAGACCCAATTGGATAGGCTTCAGTTTTTGCCTAACATGACTCACATTATTCAGTCAATGAAGATTATTAGCGATGGTGAGGCTTCGTTGAGCTTGTTTCGGTGGGCCAAGAGGCAATCTTGGTATTCTCCGACTGACGAGTGTTATGCTGTGTTGTTTGATATGTTGAATGAGAGTAGGGATTATGATGGGATTCAATCAGTGTTTGATGATATGGTTCGTGATTCAGGTGAAAGTGGTATGTCTTCATTTAGTGCGTATAATCGGGTTATTCAGTCATTAGCAAAGGCTGAGAAATTGGAGGTGACTTTCTGTTGTTTTAAGAAGATGAAAGAAGTTGGTTGTAAAGTTGATACGCAGACGTATAATTCATTGATAACATTGTTTTTGGATAAGGGTTTGCCGTTTAAAGCTTTTGAGATATATGAGAATATGGAAGAAGTTGGGTGTTCCTTGGATGCATCAACTTACGAGTTGATGATTCCAAGTTTGGCAAAATCAGGCCGTCTTGATGCTGCTTTGAAGCTCTTCCAAGAGATGAAAGAAAAGAACTTCCGACCAGGTTTTGGGGTTTTTGTGCACTTGTTGATTCAATGGGTAAAGCTGGTAGGTTGGACACGTCCATGAAAGTGTATATGGAAATGCAAGGTTTTGGACTCAGGCCGTCTGCCACTACATTTGTTTCTATGATTGAGTCATTTGTTAAAGCTGGGAAGCTGGAGACTGCTCTCAAGCTATGGGATGAGATGAAGAAAGCCAGATTTAGACCTAATTATGGGCTCTATACTATGATGGTTGAGTCCCATGCAAAATCTGGAAAGCTTGAGACTGCTATGTCTCTCTTTTCAGATATGGAAAGGGCTGGATTTTTTCCCACACCCTCTACCTATTCTTCTCTTTTGGAGATGCATGCTGCTTCTGGTCAATGATGGCCATGAAGCTCTATAACTCTATGACAAATGCAGGTCTTAGACCAGGGCTCAGTACCTACACAGCCTTGCTGACTCTCCTGGCAAAAAAGAAGCTTGTTGATGTAGCTGCAAAGGTTTTACTTGAAATGAAGGCCATGGGGTATTCTGTTGATGTGAATGCTAGTGATGTTCTTATGGTGTATATCAAGGATGGTTCTGTTGATCTAGCTTTGAGGTGGCTACGGTTTATGGGCTCATCTGGGATTCGCACAAACAATTTCATTATTAGGCAGCTCTTTGAGTCGTGTATGAAGAGTGGATTATATGAGTCGGCCAAGCCCCTTCTTGAAACATATGTGAATGCTGCTGCTAAGGTTGATCTTGTACTTTACACATCAATTCTTGCCTATCTTGTAAGATGCCAGGAAGAGCATAATGAGAGGCATTTGATGGCCATCTTGAGTGCTACGAAACATAAAGCTCATGCTTTCATGTGCGGTCTCTTCACAGGGCCAGAGCAGAGGAAGCAACCAGTTTTATCTTTTGTGAGGGAATTCTTTCAGGGAATCGATTATGAGTTAGAAGAAGGAGCTGCCAGGTACTTTGTCAATGTTCTTCTTAACTACCTTGTTCTGATGGGACAGATAAATCGTGCTCGTTGTGTATGGAAAGTTGCATATGAAAACAAGCTTTTTCCCAAGGCAATAGTGTTTGATCAACACATTGCCTGGTCCCTTGATGTTAGAAACTTGTCAGTTGGGGCTGCTCTTATAGCAGTGGTACACACCCTTCACAGGTTCAGGAAGAGGATGTTATACTATGGGGTCGTCCCAAGGCGGATCAAATTAGTAACTGGGCCAACTTTGAAGATTGTTATAGCTCAAATGTTAAGTTCTGTCGAGTCACCCTTTGAAGTTAGTAAAGTTGTTCTGAGAGCCCCAGGGGATTCCGTCCTGGAGTGGTTCAAGAAACCGATAGTTCAGCAATTCCTTCTGAATGAGATTCCTTCAAGGGCTGATATTTTGATGCATAAACTGAACACACTTTTTCCTAGTTCTGCACCCGAAATTAGATCCCTATCCCTCCAAAGCCTCTTCTTGCAGGGAAGGCTCTATAGTCATGGATAAGTTGTTAGCTTGGTCAGGCATCATTTGTTTGTAATATAGAATTATAAGTTACATTTTTGTTTGTTTAAAAAGCACTTGACATCTACATAGAAAATCGCATGTTAGTGTACATGAGAAAATACCTTTAGAATTTCAACTTCAGCTTTTCAAAAATATCTTTGCAATAGAGGCTTCCTGGTTTCAGATTGGTGGCAGCTAGTTCATATACATAATAATTAACTGAGTAACATTTAATAGTTTAATCTGCGGACAGCAATTTTATTTTGCTTCACTTAGATGCTAAATTGTGTTCAGGGTTGATATTTGCATTAATACTGGTCATGCCTTATCACTCATTTACTTTGTTAATAAGACCAGCTCTTATCACTCATTTACTCCCGCCCTTACCTTTTTTCTCCTTATCTAAAGGCATATTTACCATGTTATGCTCTAGTTCTTAGTAATGCCTCTAATCCCTAGTGAAACTACAAAGCACGTCTTTAAGTTCAGCATACTTGATATGCACAGCTGATTATCAATGTATTTCCAGTGAGAGGCTTCTCTGAAAAAAATGTCTGCTGCTGACCATCCCTATGTTTTCCATCAAGGCTTCTTGGGAAAAATGTCTTTAAGCTCAACATACTTGATATGCATAACAGATTATCCACGTTTTTCCACTAAGAGGTTTCTCTGGAAAAAATGTCTGCTGCTGACCATCCATATGATTTCCATTGAGGCTTCTTGGGAAAAATGTCCGGTCAGGAGGAAGTAAATCAGGTTAAGTAATTTTAAACTGCTGCTAGGAATCAGCAACAACTGCAATGCGAAGTATTTGGCAGTGGCAGGGCTGCCGATATGAGCCAGATTCCTCTTTTCTGCTGCCATCCGGTAAGATTTATCCCAGATTTTAGTTTTTCATGGACGCTATTCTATCTGGAAAGCCTCATTTACGCCTAGACTATTGAAACTGTAACTTTTTTCCTTGTGATTTACCAGACCATGATATGTATCAGGCTGCTAAAATTGGAAGTGTCGAGGATCACTTCCAAGTGACAAACAGGCACGAGTTGCAGTAGCGCAGACTATAGAAGATAATCAAAATTAAGAGTAGACAAAATTTGTGCTCCCTCTGTAAGTTGCATGCTCCTTCTGTTATCCACTGGTTTTACTTTACTGGTCTTCATCGACCAAGATAGGGTCTTGTACACATACCTAGATGATCACAGCATATACAGATACAATATATACAGTACACATAAAATTTTGTCTACTCTTAATTAAGTGTGTACAATATATCACTCATTAAGTGTGTACAATATATCACTCATTGACACAGCCCGGCACCCATGTGTCTTTTATAAAAAAAAAAAAATTTTTTTGTGTCAGGTGCCGGGCACCCATAGATATATACAGAACCCCTGTCAGACCCGTAAGTGTCTGAATATTTTTTTTCCACCTATATTCTAATCAATTAGCCTCAGTTGCCTGTGTTCTCAGGTACCATTTGATCCACTGATGATCAAACACATTTTCAGGACATGGTCAATTCTGCTGAAAAGGATAGGTTGGCTGGAAATTCAGATTTTACTCTTTGAGAGGAGGAGGACGTTTGGCTATAGGATTTCTTGACGAATGGTCCGTTTAACCTGGGTTGTTCAAACTGGTTTATGTAACTTAGATATATACATTCCAAGAATAGGGGTGAATTATGTGATATTGGAAAAGTGAATTGCTATGATTTTCGTCATTTAATCCCATGTCATATTGTTGCTGAAAGGCAAGATTTTTGTACAACTTTACAGATGCAGGGCTAAGACTCTGATTTACCTCCTTGTCTTGGCCTTCCACAGATAATAAACTCTGGCAGAAAGAGCAAGACTTCTGTTGTCCCACAAAATTCTGCTGCAAAGCTTCCTGGGATAGCCAAGGCCCAAGGCAACTATGGATTCCAAAGATATGACTTCATTTTTGGAACCTTTCCTCAATCAGAATAAAGTTGAATTCTTTTCAAGAAGCAATGCAATCTATTCTTTCCCATCCAACATGATTTTAAACTTCAATATGAAAAACTAGTATTGCATTACATTCTTTAACCACTCCTGCCCATCAAAAACAAAGGAAGGTCAGGTAAAGAATGAAGTATCTATTAGAAAAAGAGGCTTAAAACTAAAATAAAGAAAAAAAAGGAATGAAGAATCAACCTCATTTGAGCCAATGCAGTTTTGATTTATCTCACTTCCCTCCCTCAAAAAATGTTGTGGCATGTAACTATCCCTTCATTGCTCAGTGGCCACCAAAAAGGGACTAAAGTCCCTCTTTAGATTGTAGGTATGAGGTTAGAACTCTATTTGCAGTAAAAAAAAATTCAAAGGAAGTGTCAGAACACCCTTTTGGTGTAGTAGGTTCTTATTTCTATTAGCCCCTTATACATAACCTCTTTAGGCTCTCCTCCCCCAAGATTAGGATAGATTAAGTTATAGAAATGTTATCAAAAAGGGACTTCTTTGGACTGTAGGTCACGGTTTGAACCTTACATGCTTTGAAAAAAATTCAAAGGAGGTGTCAGAACATCCCTTTGATCTAGTAGATTCTTATACCTATTAGCCCTTATACATAATCTCTTCAGGCTCCACTCCTAGATTAGGATAGATTAGATTATAGAAATGTTATCGTTGCCATAAAAAAAAATGTAACTACCCTTTCATTTTCTCCAACAATTCACATAAACTTCCCTTTCATATATTCTGTCCACAATTGCTTAAAAACAATTAATGTACTTTAGTGCTATATTTTAGTATTCGATTTGCTAGGAGACAGATTGGTCAAGTAATCATGCTAGTTAATTTTATAATTCACGTGATTGTCTTTTGTCATAGGGACTAATCACAATAGGTAGAAATTCAAAGTCTAATTGCCATATTCTTGAGCATAACACAATAGATAGAATTTTGCAAATTTGTTATTTTTAGTACACATTTATCGTGCCAATCATGCGGATTTCTGTCGTGCTGGTCCATTTTTAATAATTTCGTTAATGAAATTCACTTTTTATATAAAAAAATATTGGATTTATCTTATGGAAAGCCAGGCTTCCTCCTCTTAAAAAAAAAAAGAAAGTCTTTTGCAAGAAGAGGGGAATATATGCCATTTCATAGAACCAAAAGAACTAAAAAAATAGTAATTGAAAATTACTATCTTTGAAAAATACATACTCTCTTTATTACTATAATTATGCAAAGAGACATCGGGAAATAACAATTCCCATACCAACAATATTGTTTGAAAACAAGGCAGTATTTGATATTGGCATTTTCTTTGATTTTTTTTTAATTACGCGAACGACAAATATAAGGCTGTATCTCACGTCTATTACAATGACCTAAATTTCTATCAGTTCTAATTTGAATGATATTCCATAGTATTTATGTCTTTTTACATGATGAAGAAAATCCAAAGTGCCAATATCAATCCCCTTATGTAAAAATACACTGTAGTCTTGCCAAAAAGAGAAAAAGAAAACCTGGCCATTAAATTCACAAAGAACAAGGAAAAAAAAAAAGAGAATGCTCTTTTAGTTAGTACAAAAGAACAGGCAAAAAAAAGAGGAAAGAATAACAAGAACTTATAACAAATCGCTCAAAAACGAAAAAAAGAACTTACAGCGAATCAGATTAAGGGTCTGTTTGTTTGGATGGAAAAGGTTTTCCGAGAAACATTTTTCATATTTTCCGTTGTTTGGTTGTCAATTAATTTAGGAAAATAATTTCTGACAGAAAATAAGTTACAGCCACGGAAGGAAAATAACTTCCTTATCTATCATTGTGAAGTTATTTTCCGCTGTGTGCTTTATGATGCTTTTAGCTCCATGATGGCCAGACCGCCGCTACATTTTTCAAAATACTTCAGGTCCAGGCTACTAAACACACAACTGTTTCCACAGATCCCCCATTTATACTTCCCATCCAATTAAATCAACCTCAGCTACTAGAAATGGGAAGCAAGAAATACATTATCAGGACTCCACCCAAAAGTTCCTAAAAACCCATCAAAACTGGGAACATCAAACTAAAATAAACGCCTCAAGTACCAAGGTCTGTACAAATTCTCTCAATTGCATCATTTATACACCATAAAATACAGACTTTCTGCATTTACAGGGTTCAAGTCATCCATTATCCTTCTTGCAGCTAAACTATATCAACGTTGGCTAAACCCATCAAGCAAATTCAGTTGTCTAGGGAGGTTAGTATTTATTGCAACTCTTACCACGAAGAAATATCTTTATATTCTCCTGTTGAGACACCTACTTTTCTTTTCTTTGTCACAGAAACAACGGGTAGACTGCTGTCAACAGCAGTAGTAGACTCAACCTGCGAATTCCTTGCTTTCAAGTACTTCCTACACCACACCCAAACCTTGACTCCCTGAAGTTCCAGTCCCTGGATTGTTGTACCATAAGCCAACCTTATCCTGAAATGCAAAGAAATAAATAAGCCATTTAAATAGTAGAAGTGAGGGAAAAAAACAGACGCAAGACGAACAGTATCAGATCCAGGACTAACATTTTCTTCATCTTCAGCATTGTTCTCATTTGCTTTCAAGTACTTCCCTACACCACACCCAAACCTTGACTCCCTGAAGTTCCAGTCCCTGGATTGTTGTACCATAAGCCAACCTTATCCTGAAATGCAAAGAAATAAATAAGCCATTTAAATAGTAGAAGTGAGGGAAAAAATACAGACGCAAGACGAACAGTATCAGATCCAGGACTAACATTTTCTTCATCTTCAGCATTGTTCTCATTAGTACTCTTCTTCTCGTCCTCTTCATCAGATTTTCACTTAATAACCAAACACGGGAAAATTACGGGGAAGGAAGTGATTTTTCAGGAAAATGACTTCGATGGGAAATATTTTCAGTCCAACCAAACGGACCCTAAAGGTACGTTTGCTAAAACTGAAATCTAAAAGTCTAAAATCTAAAAGTTATCAATTGTTAAATATTAAAATTTTAATATTTGAACGTATTTAATATTAAGTCATGAGTGACCAGTTTATCATTTTTTTAGAACAAATTTTACTTAAACAATTCAGACCAGTTAACTAATTAATATATTCTATTTTTTGTTACAAAATACGTCTCAACATATTAAGGCCGAAATATATTAAATTTAGTTTAAATAAAATATTAAATTGAATTATTAAATCAGGCTAATCCTTTTTATTGGGGTTATTATTGAATTTAACAAGATTAATGATTCCCTCCCAAAATCTGGAATCCCTTTTCATTGACTGTCATAACTAACTACCCATTGGCACCAAAGTCTTCAGAACTCTCCAGACTCCATCTTGTTCACCACACTCTAACAATAGATCCCTTAATATTTATCCAGTCCTAGAACTCTCTAGACCTCCCCAACTCAATTAAACTCCTAGTATTTAAATTCTGAAAGATCCAAAACCCTTTGTCTGAGGAAAGTATATCAGCCTTCAGTTGTCTCTTGCATTTTCTTGCTACCTAGTACTCTGGTAATTTGAAATCTTCTACCACATTTTTACAAGAAATGGATGATGATTTTGATTTTCCATCAGCTAGCAATGCTGCTGATGAGATGGGGATGGATGAGGAATTGGACTTGCCTGAGACCAACCCAGTAATTAAAGTTGGGGAAGAGAAGGAAATTGGGAAAATGGGTTGAAAAAGAAGCTGATTAATGAAGGTGAAGGCTGGGAGAATCCCAGTTCTGGGGATGAAGTTGAAGGTAAGGTTATCAGCTGTTTTGGCTCATTAAATCCTATTGTAGTTGAAATTAGTCATATTCATCTGCCCATTAATCAATTTTTTATCTAGATTGTTAATGGGTTGACTTTCATTTTGGCTTGATTATGCTGCATGATTCTCAAAGTTGGGATCTTTATGGTGTATAAGACCCCAATTGGGGTTATTTGGACCGTTTCTGGAAAAGGGTTCTTCTTAAAGTTTGAATGAATTGAAGAGTTTGTCATGTAAACTGCTTAGAAATTAAGATAATTTTATTAAGTGTGAGGAACCTCAATCAACAGTTTGGTATTGCTTTTGACGAAATGGGCATTACTTCTTGTTCTCAGTTAGGTGTTGGCTATTTGATGAATGAAATGATTTTTTGATTTGAGGGAGTTTCATCCACTGTATCATGCTGATAATGTTTTTTTTTTTTTTTATGGTTTAATGTTGATTGTGCAGTGCATTATGTGGGCACTCTGCTTGATGGAACTCAATTTGATTCGAGCCGTGACAGGGGAACTCCATTCAAGTTCAAGCTTGGCCAAGGTAATGACTAGCTAAGTTCGGTTGAAGTTCAAGGATCAGTAGTAATTTGAAGTTTAATATGACAGTTGTTTAGTCTTTTCATCCCTGCTGACAATGCAATTTGCCCTGTTTTAATCAGGTCTTAGTTTGTCCAGTTTGGATTATTGGACAGTACAAGAAGATAAAAGAACACTCTTACATTTTAGGCAATTACCAGCCTGCCAGCAAATATGTTGTTAACAAACATCTGGAGTAGGTCTATAATTGAAAAGGCTTCTATTTGATTGTGGCATTTTGATTTTTACCTAATGCAGGACAAGTTATCAAAGGTTGGGATGAGGGTATTAAGACAATGAAAAAGGGTGAGAAGGCCCTCTTCACCATCCCTCCTGAGTTGGCCTATGGGGAGTCTGGATCACCTCCAACAATACCTCCTAATGCCACTCTGCAGTTTGAAGTTGAGTTGCTTTCTTGGACTAGTGTGAAAGATATATGCAAAGATGGTGGAATATTCAAGAAAGTACTTGTTGAAGGAGAGGGTTGGCAGAATCCTAAAGATCTTGATGAAGTTTTTGGTGCGTCAATCATCTATCATTTCTTTATAATTGTTTTCATGGCTTTCATTGGATGACCTTGGGTTATTAAATTTGCTAAATGTTCTCCTTCTCTTGCAGTCAAATATGAGGCACTGCTTGAGGATGGAACTCTTATTTCCAAATCGGATGGAGTTGAGTTCACTGTGAAAGATGGTAATATGTTGTCCTCATTAACCTTGTTCTTTCTCCAGTTTTCCGGGGACGCTTGTAAAAGTTTGATCTGCTTGCAGGTTTCTTCTGTCCTGCTTTAGCAAAAGCTGTTAAAACAATGAAGAAGGGTGAAAAAGCTCTCTTAACTGTCAATTCACAATGTAAGTTAGCTTTCTGCGTCCTGGATTGGCTTGCAATTTGTCCTTTGGGTTGCTGACTGTTGGTTATTGCAGATGTGTTTGGAGAGAAGGGAAGGCCTCAAGTTGGTGATGAAATTAGTGTTCCACCGAATGCTTCACTTCAAATTAATCTTGAATTGGTTTCATGGAAAACTGTGTCCGATGTTACCAATGACAAAAAAGTGTTGAAGAAGATCCTGAGGAGGGAGAAGGATATGAGCGCCCAAATGATGGCACAGTTGTGAAAGGTAAACTGCAGAGCAAAAATGTAAACTCTTTGCAGTGATCCACCATTGGAATTTTCATTCTAAATTATCTTTTAGTGTTTGGCAGTGAAATTGACCGGAAAGCTGCAGGACGGAACTGTTTTTGTAAAAAAGGGACATGATGGAGAAGAATTTGAGTTCAAGGTAGATGAAGGTAATTGGTCATTCACCTAATGCAACCTACAACTTATAAGGCTCTAGCTGCCTTTAATATTTCATACGGTACTATTTTACTATTTTTCCTCTATCAGCAAACAATATGTGGCATGTATTGTATCCTTTCTACTTGTTCAGTTGTGTTGAACTTACCTTTTGCTGTCTTCTGCAGAACAAGTCACTTGAAGGACTTGATAGAGCTGTAAAAACAATGAAAAAGGTGAAATGGCTCTTGTAATTGTTCAACCCGAATATGCTTTTGGTCCATCTGAGTCACAACAAGAGCTGGCTGTTGTTCCTGCAGATTCAACCCTATACTATGAGATTGAGATGGTCTCCTTTGTCAAGTGAGTGAGCACTTTTCTCTGCACACAAAGATGTTTGCCTTTCAAGCATCTGGATGAGGTTTTGACTATTGTTACATTTACTGCTTACCATAGGAGAAGGAATCTTGGGACATGAATGCCCAAGAGAAAATTGAGGCTGCTGGGAAGAAAAAGGAGGAAGGGAACGTATGGTTCAAGGCAGGAAAATATGCGAGAGCCTCTAAGAGATATGAGAAGGTGCTGCACACTTCTGCAAAAAAATTTAAATCTCCTGTCCATGATTTTTATTTCAAATGTCCATAAAAGGCTTCTTTTATTGTGCTCAGGGTGTGGGCTTCGTAGAATATGATTCATCTTTCAGCGATGAGGAGAAGCAACAGGCTAAATTGCTCAAGATCAGTTGCAATTTGAACAATGCAGCTTGTAAACTGAAACTAAAAGACTATAAAGAGGCAGTGAAATTGTGCACAAAGGTCTTGGATATTGATAGCAGGAACGTCAAAGCACTTTATAGAAGGGCCCAAGCATACATCCAACTTGTTGAACTAGAATTGGCAGAACAGGACATAAAGAAAGCTCTTGAAATTGATCCAGATAATAGGTATGAGTTCCACAGATCTGTCGTAACGTATTAAAATGAACATTTTTGTAAAAAATTCATTTTCTTCGATCTAAATATGATTTATATACTATATGTCAAACTTGAACCAGTATGTTATTCTTTCATGGCATATATATCTGAGATTAGCCTAAAATATCGGTAGATACAGAAGGAAGCAAAATGGCAAGAAAATACATGTAGTTATGATCAGCTTAAAAACATGTTTTTTGTTCTGTGTTTTACTATTTGTTTCTAATGCCTTGCATGATTGGGAACGTGGATGGCCAGGGATGTAAAAATGGAGTACAAAATCCTGAAGGACAAAGTGAAGGAATACAACCGGAAGGATGCACAGTTCTATGGTAGTATATTTGCCAAGATGAGTAAACTGGAGCAACAAAATTCTAGTGTAGTCATTGAGTTACTGATAAGGTTTTCTTTTAATTCGTCGAATGTAATCTTATAGTGGTAAAATAATCATGTTCTAACTACTTGTTGCTAATCTAATGAATGCGTTGTTGAAATGCAGAGTGCAGAAAAAAAGAGGCAATGCCAATGGCCATTGATAGTAAGGCCTAAAAGTTCATCTCTAGTAATATCTTCTCTTTTGTTCTCTTCTCTAAAATGTGCAAGCATCGAGTCTGTACTTAGATATAGCATACCTTGTGTCATCATAGAGAGTAATAAAAAGAGTTGTCTGTCTCTGAGGTGTCGAGTGAGTCCCTTGTACTAGAAAATTGGTATATCATTCGTGTCGAAGCATGTTTGATATGCTTAATCAAGTGACCATGGCAAATCTCTCTCTCTCTCTCTCTCTCTCTCTCCAGCATATTCTATCTTCACAGCACCTCTGAAACTTACCACTTTTGTTTAGTTCACTGAAAACTATAATGACTATGAAGCAGCAAGATAAAAAGCACCTATAACGATGGTGCTTCAACATATGTCATATATTGTATCCTTCTGTATATTGAAATGCATGTGTAAAATGTATTTGATTGCCAATTTCTTCAATGCCTATATTGACTTAAGATAAAACTTTGTTCCATAAAGGGGCAGTACATTTAAGGGCAGTATCCAGCGTCAGCGCAAAAACAAGGGATTGCTGGTCTGCTATGATAACTGCAGTAAAGGCAGGCCTTAGGAGCATTTCTACCCGGCTAAATGCCCCTGTCAAGAGCAAAACATCATAACAAGGAGCATAATCTCAGGTTTAGCTGAAATATCTAGTAATGCTTGTTTGTAAGGTCATACAATTGAATGCTTTCTGTAAGGCCATAAGGTTACTGTTGTAAGCTTGAAAACAATTTCTGTAAAATATCAGATGAATCTGAAAGGACGATGTGTAACAAAATGGGACACTATGCCTCCCTGCTAAACAGGGAGCAGAATGACAAGCTCAGACTTGTAGAACTATGCTTTTAACTGTAATAAATACAACCAGTTTTACAAACATTATAGATGTACTATTTGGTGCTCAGAGCAAAAAAGTACTTGTACTATAAGATTCTAATCTGTTAAATCTTCTCTTATCAGATAGATTGCCTCAATACAACACTAACACAAGAAACTCTGACAGAACAACTGAAGCCTCAAACTGCTATAGTTTATCCTAGAACTTTAAGCAGGCATTGTCTCCAGAAAGTTGTCATCACCAAACTTCCACAAAATCCCAATGCATATCCCAATCCTGTTAAAAAGAAGAGCCAAAATTTTTCATGCATTTTTTCGTTCTTGTCATCATCAATCTGTCCTTTCCATTGCTGTTTTGGCCAGTGAGGATCTGGCATTTTGTAGGCAATGGTTCCCCACAAAGTCCAGGATTACCACCATAAATAGAGGGATCTTGAAATGTAAGGAACTGGTTGGTTGATGGAATTGGTCCAGATAAGTTGTTATGAGACAAATTCAAAAAGTTTAATGAGGTCATGTGAGACATGGCAGGAGGAATACTACCAGAGAGAGAGTTCCATGAGAGGTCAAAGTTTCCAACAGGCCTAAACTGCCAATCTTTTTCGGTATCTTCCCTGTGAACTGGTTTCTAGATAAATTTAAGGTTCCCAGAGCTAAGAGATTGCTTACCTCTTCTGGAATGTCTCCTTGCAAATGATTGCTTGAAAGATCAATAATGTTCACAAGCTTAAGTGTTTTTGTGTACGCCATTTCTCTCCCTTTCACAACCAATTCTACTTGAGGTATAAATGCATAAGGTACATCTGGTGGTACTTTGTGGTACAACATCACATCATGGAAGCCACTCAAATTGCCCAAACAGATAGGAAGATGTCCTGATAGATCATTGTCTGCAAAGTCCAAGACATGTAGCATCTGAAGACTGCACAACTCCTGAGGTATGCTGCCTATGAACTTATTGTTTCGCAACCTTAGCACTGTGAGTGAGGTTAGCCTTTCTCCAATCCATCTTGGTATTTTCCCGGAAAATCTATTGTCTCCAAGATCAAGCAGACTCAAGTATGTAGAGTTTATTGTTGTTCCGAATGGGAGTTCTCCGGAAAGATTGTTCCCATTCAATTTCAACCAGAGAATGTAAGTTGGTAAAAACATTGAACTAGGAAGATTGCCTGAAAGGTTATTCATTGACAGATCAATAATTAAGAGAGCTTGTGAGTTCCCCCAGTTATCATGGATTTCTCCAGAAAATTTGTTGTTTGACAAATACAGCTCAGTCAAATACTTCATCTTCCCCATGGAGAAGGGTATCTCACCATTCATAAAGTTACCTGACAGATTAAGGTAAGTCATGTATGGCATTTGTTCACCAATGTTCTCCGGGATCGATCCTGATATCGAATTGTTGGCCAAACTCAGATATGACACATTGCTCCATAAAGGAAGAGGGCCTTCGAACCGATTTGAGCTGAAGTCCACCCATGCACCCTTGGAAATTCCAGTGATTTCGGGAGCACTCCAGCTATCCGGTTATCAGAGATATCTAACCTGATTAATTTGAGGGGTTAATTCCCAAAACCAATTCGTACAGTTTCTGAGAGGCCTACCCCTTGAAGATAGAGTGTGGACAGTTGCTTTTGAGTCTTCAGCCAAGTTGGGAATCTATCACCAATTTGGTAATTGGTGATTCTCATGAATTTTAGATTGAAAGGAGGAATCCAGTCGTTGCTCACATTTAAGAAAAGCTGTTTGCTTGAAGATGATAGAGCCAGAGTTTCCAAATTATTTAGCCTGTGAAAATGTTTCTGGATAGAGAACCTTCTCTGGAATCCTGAAAGAGATACAAGTGCTTTAATCCTGTTAACTCTCCAATGCTTTCTGAAATCGAACCATTTATCGGATTGTAACTGAGGTCTAATACCTCCAAGCTCCTCAAACGAATAGGGTGATAAATAAAGGAGAAGGGGATTGCATCAAACTCGATAGGTAAGAGAATAGATTATGGTATGACTAAATGAGGCATAAGTAACAGAAACTTTGGTGATGTGGCAAAAAAATTGTGAAAAGGAAGATTACTAGTACAGTAATTGTTGTGGTTAGACATCATGTTTGATAGTTGGTACGCACAATAGGTCAGAAATGACAGTAATACAACTGGTCTCTAAAATTACATGAAGATACTGTAAAATTGGCTGCTTCCTATTTCTACTGCATTGGTATTGTACAATAGCATAATAAATAGAAGAAGAAGTTGATCCGAAGTAGAAGTTGATAGGTAGGACAACAGATTATGTAGATTTGTGGTAGTTGAAATAAATAACAAACTGTGAAGAATGACTTACTCAGTGTGGGAAAAATTGTTACAAGTTGTATTACAGCTAGTGTAACTAATATTTGATGCTCATATATTATGCTTAGCAGTACTTCATCATATATTATGCCTGTGGCTGGAAATGAAATTTTGGAACTGAAGTACAATTTATTTGTAAAAAACATTAGTTTACATGGCAAGAACGCGAATAGGAAACAGACTTCAGGAAGGAAACAGAGAAGAACTCGCTGAAACAAATGGTGCTACAGAACACGGGATACCGCCCAATTCATTGAATAGGTAAGTGGCCAGTACTTATGTATAGTCGTGGCAGATTAGATTTGTCATCATTATAATGTATTACAATGTTGATTATGCAGGGGCCGGATAGGAAGGAAAAGAACCAATAAAAGAAATGATCGTTTAGATGGAGAGGAAGAAATGCAGGCAGCGAAAACAAGCGAGGTTGCAGAACCAGTCCCACCATTGAATCCATGGATGAAGTTCAGGTAAAAGCATTGAATTTGAGGAAAAAATAATGCTGTTAAATAACACAAATAACTTTGGAATTTTGAATGTGGACAGGAAAGAGTATCAACGCACGGTTTCGGCAAAAGGTGTTAAGTTGACAGAGGTATGCTGTCCTAACAAAATAAACACTACAATCATTGAACTGATGGGTTGCCTAAGAAAAAAATAGTGAAGCGAGCAATTGTTTTATGTTTTAGTTTAACGTGTCTTTTGATTTTGATTATTCAATACAGTACAATGACATTGTCCGGGCAGCATATAATAAGTTGAGTGAGGAAGAATTGAGCAAACAAAAGGAGGAGTATTTGAAAGAGAAAGAAAAGTACGAGAAAGAAATGGAACGTCTTGGAAAGCCAATAGTGCGAAAGGCACGGGTTCAAATTAAGGTAAATACACGTCACGATTCGTCAAACACTTAATCAAACTTTTCGATTTTTCTAACGCATATATCTAAAAAATGGTGTAGAATCGGAAGTACATTATCCGTTGCTCGCCAAAGCAGATGTCAAGCTTAGTTTCACGAATCGATGAAACAAAGAAGCAACAGATTAAAGACATAGGGTTTGAAGGGCTGCTAGACATACAGTGTCACTGGATTCCTAGTGGCATAGCTACCTGGTTCGTCGATAACTTTAATCCGACATTGAGCAGTTTGAATGTACATGGAGATGGTGTACTGCCTTTAATATCAAAGGATATTAGTTTAATCTTGGGGATCCCAAACGAAGGTCACGTTCCAGTTGAAGACACTGATACAACCGAGGTTGGGGGAACCGAACCAAGTCGTAGGACATACAAATGGAAAGAACTGCCAAATGAGTTGGTAGCCATGAATGCAGAGGATGAATTCATACGACTATTGTTGCATTTGCTTGTGGATGTCTACTGGTTCCAAGTACTAGAGTCGAGCACAAAATAAAGCTTTGGATGTGTACGCATTTGGTTGATAGGGTGGCTACATTGAATTGGGTTAAGTATGTCAGGATCGTACTGTGCAATAAGGTGCTAGAGGTGCAAAAGAAAAGTGAAAAGCAGCACCAATACGTTGGCGGTTGCATCTTCGTTCTGCTGGTAAGATTAGGTAGTTGTAGTCATGATTGAAACATGCTTTAATGGTTAGATAATGCACCAGAGATTAATCACTTTTGAGTGTATGTAAACTATTGTATGCATTTTCATGTTCTGTTGAATTTAGTGCGACGGATTGATTAGATTATGTTCAAATGAATGTGTGTACAACGATGCTCATATGCGGTAAAATTTATCTGTAGTTGAATTAATTGCTCTATTGTATTGCAGATTCATTATCTTGACCGAGTGCAAATACTGAAGCATAAAGTGCCAAGGACTACGCCACGAGCAACAGCATGGACAGATGCTCTAATCTTTGAAAGGGATGCATTGGAAATTAGAAATCTTGGGGCTTATGGGAAAGAAAAACTGGTAACATGTTATTTATTGTTTACCTCATTTCATATAAAAAGTATTGGTGTATGTATTACGTGACTTTGGTATTGAAATTGTTAGTTTAATTTGATGTTAAAGATTGGACGAAATGATCCGGAAGAGAATGAATATGGTGTGTGGAGTACTGAACTACACCCTGATTTGGTAGGGATGATGATGAACAGCGGGCATGCCGATATCGGTGTAAGTGGACCTGTTTCATGATTAGCGAAATTTATTGTTTGATTTGACGTAATTACTGCATATTATTGTCAACATTATGGATCATTAATAGGCCTATGAGCTTGTAACTACATACAGTTACATGTTAATATATGAAACCAATCCCAATATTATATTGAACAAATAAGTTATCTTGAATTAAGTCACATGCGTGTAAATAAATAAATATAGTGATCTTTTGGATAATCATGTTATAAATAAATGAACATTCAATCTTCACGGTGACCATTTTATTTATTGCCATAGAACTTACAGTTATAGAACGTATGCCAGCAGTACAAATGTTAAATTTATAACTTTCACTTAGATGTACTATTGTATATGTCTGTATTGTATTCCATTCTTGATTGCATGTGATTCATTTATGGATTGGTAATGTCGTCATGTAACTGCAGGCTGAACTGAATGAGCTGTATAACAATGCTGTTAGTAGCCAACAAAGGATATTGAAGATTGCAGAAATACTCTTTTCTCAGCCGAGAGCAAAAGCTTCCACTTCTGGGTCTGAAACATTGGACAAAGGAAAAAAACCTGTACAGGAGGACTATACAATGCACCAGAGTCCTGATACCGAAGAAAAGTTGGAATTTCAATCTGCCGAAGAAGGGGGTAATGATGAGGATGATGATGCTAATGAAATTGATGCGGAAGGGTCTGAAGAAGACGAGCATAATGCAGCGCAGAATGAAGAAGACGATGCTAATACGAGGACAAATATTGAAACCATCCCAAACCCAGAGCTAAATGAAGATATAATGGACATGGAGAATCCAATTCTTACCTCATCAGTCGGGCCCAAAAACATCAGTCAGGGATTGCAACAAAGGGCCACCATGACAACAACTAAGCATGGAAGCATTATACACCTTCAAGAGCAAGAGCAGGAGCAATATAGGTCAAATGTCACAGAACCTGCCGAAGAAGGTCAATCTACGGGGCAACTACATTTGAACGCTAGTGCATCGACGCCACATCTGTATGAGCCAGAAACACCACGTAGGTTGTTATCATATGGACGAAAGCGGAAAGGTTGGTACAGTTGTATTATTTATAAGATTCTAATTCAAGTAACATGATGAACAGCTATACACACATACGGTAAGCGTATTTATACCATAATGATACTACCTATATGGGTTTGAAATGTCGCTGTAAAATTGGTTGCCCCGTATTTTTACTGCATTGGAAATTACAGTGTGTTTGAAAAACTGTTAGTTATACTTTGTTTGAAAACTGTTACAAAACTGTTATTGGAAAGTCACAGTGTTTTTCAAGATTGTTACCAAAAAATTTATTTGGAAAGTTACAGATTGAAAATTAATACAAAACTCCATATTTGAAGACTGTTTACAGTGTGTTTGTAGGTTGTTACAAAATATTTATTGAGAATTATGCTGTATATTCGAAAACTGTTACAAAATATTTATTTGAGAAGTTACAGTTTCAAAATTAATACAAAACTCCATATTTGAAAACTGTTAGTTACGAAGTGTTAGTAGGTTGTTACAAAATAGTTTTTGAAAAGTTACAGTGTATTCGAAAACTGTTACAAAATAGTTGTTTGGGAAGTTACAGTTTAAAAATTAATACAAAACTCCATATTTGAAAACTGTTAGTTACGACGTGTTTAAAGGTTGTTACAAACTAGTTATTGAAAAGTTACAGTTTGTTCGAAGACTAATACAAAATAGTTGTTTGAAAAGTTATAGTTTGAAAATTAATACAAAACTCCATATTTAAAAACTGTTGGTTACGAAATGTTTTAATGTTGTTACAAACTAGTTATTGAAAAGTTATAGTGTGTTCGAAAGTTGTTACAAAATAGTTATTTGAAAAGTTACAGTTTAAAAATTAATACAAAATTACATATTTGAATACTGTTAGTTACGACGTGTTTGAAGGTTGTTACAAATTAGTTATTGAAAAGTTACAATGTGTTCGAAAACTATTACAAAATAGTGATTTGGAAAGTTACAGTTTGAAAATTAATACAAAACTCCATATTTGAAAACTGTTAGTTACGAAATGTTTTAAGGTTGTTACAAACTAGTTATTGGAAAGGTACAGTGTGTTCAAAAACTGTTACAAAATAGTTATTTGGGAAGTTACAGTGCAAAATTAATACACAATTCCATATTTGAAGACTGTTAGTTACGACGTGTTTGAAGTCTCCTCACAAAATAGTTATTGGGAAGTTACAGCGTGTTTGAAAACTGTTATACAATAGTTATTTTAGCAGTTATAGTGAGGTTTAAGACTGGTACAAAATAGTTCTTGGGAAATTATAGTGTGTTTAAAAATTAATACAGAACTGTTTGAAGAGTGTTACAAAATGATTTACAATGTGTTATACAACTACAAAAAAATTGCATTTGAAATGCATGTTCTTTACTTTTTAGGAGGTCTTGACATTGAGATAAAGCACAAGTCTACACGTGCAACAAAGAAGAGCATCGTTCTGCGATCAGCGGAGTACATTCTAACAGCACGTGTGACAGTAAGTATGTATGAAAAAAATGTAGCTGCATATGCATGGGACCCTGACAAAAATTTCAAGTAAGATTCTTGACAAAACTATTAATTCGACCTTGTTGTCCATTCACTTCAATAACTACGTATGTGGTTCATTGTAAGATGGCACAGGAAAACTGTATGAAAATGGATGAGCATTGACTTCATATACATTACATATCTGTTTGTTGGAATACGAATATTAATTATTAGTAAATCGTTAAATTGTGTCCCGGATCTGATAGGGACATACTTATTCAAATGTTTCAATTCTCGCTGACGCGGCTTCACTTGAAGACACTTGAAAATGGCATGCATGTGTCGAATCGGGTCAGTAGTTTATTACGTTTATTCAAAAAGTTTGATTATGAATTTATTGATCCGATTAGTGATATGTAAATGCAATTGTAACAATCAATTACATCTTTTGGACACCCTTGGATATTGATTAGCCCGTCTCATGAATTGGGGTGGAAGAACTGCCAAAAGTAGGAAGTTTGAACGCTACATCGTTGAACCTCTCACTATTGTGAGTTTGAAATTTGGACTGCATCCTATTATGTGTTACAATTTTTTCTGCATCATATCTAAATTGGTATTACGAGCCAACGCATTATTACTGATGTCATCTACACTGCTCCTACTCGCCCATATTATTGGTTGCAGGAAGGAATTTTAAAAATGGAAAAATTTGACAAGCTGTCTAATGCCAGCTTATCTGCTAAACTGAAAAACTATTCAAAGTTCGTAATAACAATACGGGGGTTGATCCCGCGAATTGTAATTGGGTATGCAATTACCACCTTTAACCGAAAGCTTTTTTTTATTAGATGTTGAATATGCAAAAATGTAGAATCAAGTTACATACCTTTTGTGTGTTACCTTTTTTATACCTCATTCATTTCAGATACTTGTGCCAGTATGCACAGAGGGGTATTGGTTTGTCTACAGCTTTGATGTCTCACAGAGAGAAGTGCACCTGCTAGACCCTAATAGCGATCAAGCAAAGAGCAAAGATATTAGTGTACTGAATCGACTGGTATGTTGGACTGTCACCTAAATGCATTACAAGAGAAGAGGATGACACATTAGTGCTTCTAATCTGTTTTACATAATCTTTGGTGCTACAGAAACGTGCGACAAAGTTTGGCAAGGAAATTGACTTCTCCAGTTTCTCGGAGGCACTTGCCGATGTACCTCATCACTCACCAAATAAAATGTAAATAGTTTCACTTCTCACACCATTATTGTTAGAGATCCAAATATTTTATTACAACACATACACTCTAACTGACTAATGAGAAGATAACATGAACAGATGTGATAGTGGTGTCTTTATTATGATATTCTTAGAGCATTGGAACGGAAGGTTGGCTGTTCGGCTTACAGAGGTATTACAATGACACAACCTTTTTTTCTAGTTTACATTTGAAATTGTGGTTTATAGTTGTTGCCTTTGCTTTCGAAAATATTTATTACGTTTAAATTGGATAGGAAAATGTTGGCAAGTATCGAGTGCTGTACACAGCTCGATTGTGTACCTCAGCGGAGAACTCTAAGTTTCCGGATAGCTTTGCAAACCTACAAGTACCAAAACGGGCGCAGTGACTCTGTTGGTATTGCCTGAACTTCAATTAGTCAGATGTGACTGTAGTTGAACAAAATTGGATGTTCTTCCATTTGTACATTGTTATGTGTCTAATATAGCTTTTGAATTGGTGTAGACTACGTTTTGGGGTATATTGACAAGGACTATATTAACCTTATTGTAGATTAATAGAACTTTTAATTTGACAGTCATCATATGTACATAAGTGTACCTGTTGTTAAATTTCGATGATGAACACATTGCAGTATGGGGTCCATAGATGTCTCCCCATAAATTAGGGACCGAAGAATAGTTTTCGTAGTTCAATATTTGTTACAAAGAGTACATATAAAGTTACAACATAGCACATATAAAGTACGGAGTCCATACAACATCCTTCATATAAACTTGGACCCAGTATGGGGTCCATACAGGTCACGTTTGGACCCAAGAATAGTTTTCGTAGTTCAAAATTTGTTACATTGAGCACATATGAAGTTAGTGCACGTGCATTGTTATACAACATCGACCCGAACATGTCGACTAACAAACAGGTTTTATAAAATTTGTTTGCATTATTATCATAGTTATTGGGAACAAAACATATGTGGCCTTAGTTACACTGCCTTTTCTGTATCTTTAACAACAAAATCGACTAGGATTCCATGACTAATCTTTTAATGCAAACTGAGTAATTATAGATGTTATTTGTTTGTAAGTTGACCTTTTACCATGACCACTTAACCTCAAATGATGGCACGACTAATTAAGTTGAAGGATTGGTAAATGTTACAATTACATAGTAACTTTGTCCAAAATTTAAGTTCAGATTTTAGGAGACCTACCCTTTTAATGCATAGGAGTCTTTACATAATATTTGGTTCTAAATTTTACTTTTATCACGAACGCATACCCTTTTGTTTGTTGAAGCAAGCAGGACTAAACCTTATCCTCTAATCTAATTTTACAGATTTCAAGAGTAATTACTTACACAAACAAATTGAACGTGGGCACGATTACATTATTCGTAACTAGTTGACCAACAAATATTAAATACTAAAGCACATTCGTAACACTACAGTAACTCATCGTAACACTGTTCGAATGTCTTGTAATGCCGCTTTCACGGTTTGTACGTAAAGACTTGCAGCAAACTTGACTCCATGGTTGCTAGTTTATAATCTCTGGAGCTACATATTAACTGCCACCCGTGTGATACTCACCCGGTGAACCCACAACCATTACTTTATCCTCTCATACCCATATTCTCTCATACCCATTACGTTGGCCCCTGATATTTTAGGACATTGGGAGGGTCCTGCGGACTATAAAAGAGCGTGGTTGCAGTTTTATATCCCACAACAACAAAAGTTTGGTTGTAACACATTCTGTACGCTTCGTTATGAATACTTGTTGTATTATAAAACTTAGTTTTAACTGTTGGAAATTAGCCTATCCCTTGTACTATTACCTTCCCATTATTGGCCTGAAAGTTTATTTTATCATAATTCAATTTGAAAGATTCTTGTAAAACCTATCGAAGTGCCTGTAGTACATCATTACAAATGGTGCGAACCGTTCGTTCTGAAAATCTGACCCGTATGTAGTGCCAAAAGTAATTTTTTTGGTGACTAAATGGCACATAATAATTCAGCAACGCATACTTATCCAAAATAATAATAATTTGTAAAGGCCGATTGCTATATGATACATCTAACCATTCTAAGTGCCATCAACGAGCAATAAAGATGTTATTTACGGTTGTAACTGAATGCTGGACAATGGTATATATATCACAACAGTCATTTGTTATGGTATTCAATGAAAAAATACCATAAACATAGCGAAGCACGTTCAATCGTATTGAAAATTGTTACTCTAATTTTCAGTAAACTTTATAAATTCTTAATAACTTTACACAACACATTACAGAATACTTGATGACTATTAACACTGGACATTATTATAAACTTTCTATCCACTTGTCTAAATTTGAACACAGTGAAATATTGAAGGTGCCTGTACAAGCACATGAATAACTTGTAACACCTTATTAACTGCTTGTAACGTAGATATGCAGCATTCCCAACCAGGACGATATGGAGGTCCAATCACAACTGAGCTTCCAAAAACGCCGCAAATCTCATTCAAGACATGCACTAATTCATTTCCAAATTGTCTATTAAAAGAAACTCACAATAGCGAAGCGATTGAAACTGAACAATATCTTCAACAGAGAAGTACTAACACCAAAAAATGAGGTCAACTTGATGAATGGATAATTAGAACTCAATAGTTTGGTCAACCAATTAATGTGTCGTTAAAAAATTAGAGGTACACATCATTCATCAACCTGCATCTGAGGGGTGGCGACGTCAACAGTTAGTCGCAATCCCTGGGTGTTATTTCTTTCCTGAAATATGTAACGATGGCAAATCAGCTAATACACCTAATGGTACATACGGTTAATAATATACGATATCCAAGTCGCCAAATATCCAATTAACAGTACTACATAAAGATGTGATATAATGATAAATGTTTGTCACCTGTGGTGATGGTGAAAATACATTATATCCATCAATATCACAGTGTGTTGAAATTGCCGCACGCTCCTCCTATATGATATAAAATAAATATTCAACTGTTAACAAATCATTACCAGTGCCTATATTTCTCGGTTCAAAAGTTAAATTGGAGTAGACATTATAACAAGAAACGATATATCAAACCGTTAATATATCTCTGACGGAGTTATGCTTGAAAAAAATAGAAAATTTGAGGTGCATTCATTCTGTAGGGACTGTTGCAGGAGGCCCCTGATTAGCCAAACGGTGAACTTTCGGATAATACAAAACATTTTGTTATAGAAACAAGCATACGTTAACTGAATAATATACATGCTTTCAAACGTCCGGGTGTCGACCATGACAAAACGCCTAAAGGAGTTATACGATACGAATAACAAAGTTTTTATTTTTCCTACTAAATGTATGCATACCATTTCACTTTCTTCGATTTCGGGAGCAACAGCATTTGGAGGGCCATTCACTGACTGGCTCCTTGAATGCGCCTACGAGTTTTGAAGAACCAAATAATTGTATAAAACAGACAAAATAAATATATCAGGGAGGATGACAGGCGTAACAAAATTATCACATAATGTAATATCCATATAACGAATTATGCTGTTAGAAACATTTAAATAAAAGCTAAAGCTTTGATCATTTTATACTAATCGAAACTGAGTCAGTAGATGAGCGACATCCCATAAATATGTGTTCATCAAATTCAATCGATGTCGGCTTCGATTCTGAGACCTGTATATTTGACACGACATTAATGTTATTTCATACTGAATGGTACCTAAACTTTACTTAACGGTTATATAATAAGAATTTTTTCCCATAAATATTTACCATCACAAAAATTGGATCCATACCGTAGTCTCTGTAGTTCTTGACAATTTAGATTTTCTTTTTACTCTATCAAATTTATCGACCCAACTTCGCATCACTCTACTTCTCTTCTCACAGCCTCGTTTCTTAATGCCTCTTGCGACTATTGCCTCTCCCATTTCATTTACAATTTCAATTTTATCTCGTTCCTCCACATTCAGATTTTTATGATTTTGTGAAGGTTGCTCTTCACTTTCTGAGAGGAGGAGCTCAACTCTCTTTGCCAAATTGGATATGACGGTGATTACTACTTTGCTGGTGTCCTCCGACATTGCTGCTCGAGTTGCGACCTTAATCATGGTTGGAGCGAGTTCCCGATAACGAGTTGAAATGATTACTTTTGGATCAACCACAATTTCCCGTCCTCGCCGATCAAAACAGTCCCCAGCTCGAGGTCTTTTTGTCCATCGCCTCTTAACGTATTCCGGAGGAATTGTCTTTATGCCCACGGTATCAAACACCTTCAACGCATGCCCACATAAAATTTCTTCATTCTCGTATTTTTTGCAACTACTGCGTACACTTAGATCAGTCCGATTGAATACCACTATTCTTTCAGGTCCTCCATCATACCTCATTACCGCAAACTCCACAAACATCCTTGGATCTTGTTGTCTCAATATAACCATAGATGTTGACTCACCATATTCATTTTGGAATGCAACAAATACGGTTGGTGAATACGTCTCTGCTGCATGCACAAGCATAAGTGTTTGCCTCAACCCTACCATGGGAAGCTTTTGCCTCATTTCATATTCTGCAATGAGTTCATTATGTCTCTTATCATCAACCACCAGATTGAAATGTCTAAAGAACTGCACAAGGTCGTGATCCAGTTTCAAATAATTTTTTATTGCTGCATTTAGACTTTCACTAAGTTGGGTGCTTCGCATTCCCGCAGTCCATCTTTCTTTCATCATGCACCTTGCCCATTTATCACGAATTCGATACAGCCCGGAAAGCCATTCATTATTTTCAAGATTGTGCTTCTTCACCATCGCCTCCCACAACTTGTTGAATTGTTTCACTTCTTCAATGTCATACATGCAGGCACCAAACATGTATGGAAGGTCACTATTTTCCTTGTAGTGATTGTCAAGATGTTTCATAAAATTACATCTTATGTGAAACGTACATAGATCGTGAAATGTTTCAGGCATGACAACTGAAAGAACGGCTGCCATGGCGTGATCTTGGTCGGTTAGTATGGTACTTGGACGCTTTTCGTACATTACTTCTAGAAATGTACCAAACACCCATTTGAAAGAATCTATAGTCTCATCATACATAAGGGCAGCACCGAATATCACAAATTGCCTATGTTGGTTAAAACCCACAAACACTCCAAAAGGCCGGTATTCTTTATTTGTTTTGTAGGTTGTGTCGAATGTGACTATATCTCCAAAAAAAGTTGTAGTCAATTAATATTCCTGCATCAGCCCAAAAAATATTCGTTATCTGCTCTTCACAATCCAGCTGTACGGCATGAAAAAAAGATGGATTCTTGAGTGTTTGCTCTTGAAAATAATTCAGCATGCTACCTGCTTCTCCGTATTTCAAACTCCTTTCCCGTCGAGTACGAAGATATCGTTTTAGATCTTCCCGAGTATATCCCACATTTCCCAAGCCACCTGCCTCCTTTCCCATAAGCTCATGGCTCTGTTTCAATGAAAGCCCAGCATCCTCGCTTATTTCAGCTTGGAATCCTTAAGCCTCACTCACTTTTCTTTGTGATGGTATCATGTGCGAACATTGAGTAATGTGCAACTCATGGTTATGTTCTAAAACAAGGTCATGCACACGGTATTTCATTGTCCCTCTAAGTAACACGATAATCATTTTAGCTCCACACCCCGTTTTCGTCGGTGATCGTGTCCTCTTTGGCATCACATCACCTTCGTACTTGCGTTTTACACCTTCCTTGTAGCAACTATATCTCCTAAACATGGTCACACCATCTTTATCTTTATTTAGATAGTACACTAAATCCCATTTTAAAGGCATATTTGTTGTAAAATGTGTACGCATCCTCTTCATTGTTGAATTCCATTCCTAACTTAGGGGTCCGATCTTCTGCCAATTTACTGCAATCCATTACTTCTGCTCCTGCTAATTATGCATCAAACACCCTAATTTGCAACACTTCATGAATAGTATGTACATAAATGGCAACATAAATGTATATTACCATTCATAATGTGTTATAAATCACACATTACTCGTATACCAAATTCTATTATTACGCTTATCAATATGATTAATGATTCACATCACCTTACTTTTACTCTAAGACAACGGCATTATCTATGTACAAATACAACTCCATGTACACCAAGTTATACAGACTGTAATGTATTGGTCACATGATGTAAGTTTATTTTAACTGAATGTACATCCACGCTGGTGATTATATTTTAATTCTAGGTTCTTTAGCACACTGGACCTTATGTCATTCATTACTGTCAACCGCATAAGCCAACTCCGCATTTTCTATTATTTCTACATTTTGAGAGCCAAACAAGCACTTTCTACTCATTATAATATATTTCTTACATCATGTAATTTACTTACAACACAAGGTTCACCCATTTATTATTCATATATATGTCTTTTCCTCTACTTCACCTCATTCAACTCTACGCCTCCATTTTATACACACTGCATGGTCACGAGAGGGGCAAACTAATATTGCCCCATGATCATGAACCAACTACTACATGCACAATGATTCATATCAATTGTAATACGGTAGCTATAACATGTAACTAATTTACAACAGGATGTACATTAATTCACTTGTTAAATGTGACTTTGTTTCTCTCATCTTTCCCTAATTCCGTTCGACAGTTTACTTGAAAGGTCTTCCAATAACTACTATCCCAATATAGTCCATCACTGAAAAGTTGAATGCTCACACACACACACAGATACGATACGATACACACACACAAATATAGTACAATTTCACTATTTTTCTATCATCTTCATATTATGTCTTCAATGACTCTAATTTCATCATTCATTTAACAGATGTGCATTTGGGTGACAAATTATTGGCCACAGTTACTAGCATGGTTCACTCACATTACCTTGGTCTGCTAATACGCTTTACGTTTCACCGAAGTCGGAGAGCGTAGCTGCTTCTGCTATTAAGTTGAAGGACAAAATCTGGCTTCATGAAATGCTCAATTTTCTCTGTTTGCTTTTACCTTACCGCCTGCCTTGGTTGCATTCAAAATGGATACAACACTCTCATACCCAGTTGAAGACCATAGCTACTTCTGCTATTCAGTTTTACGAACAAACTCTGATTTCGTCTCTGTTTTATTCTCCCTTGCCGCCTGCCTCTCCACCCACTTTTCTGTCAATTACTACTTTCATCAGAGTAGACTTCACCCACTTCACCTAGAAACACCCAGTAGGTTGAAGCCCAGCCGAACTTCAGCTTTCTACCTTTAGTGAGCGGTCGGTCAGAGTAGAGTACCTTCACAAGCACGCCAAGACTCTCCGCTGAAGTTTTGTTTTCTGCGGCTAGTTCAAAATTTCAACTTGAATTTCAAAATCACGAATCTTCCGTTTGCTCCGTCTGCTCCCGTTTGGAAGTCAATATTTTTTTATTTGAAACGGCGTCGTTCCTTGCCCTGCTGAAGACTTGCTGACTTGGCTCATTTGTCTCCTCACATTTTTGATTGTGAGGAGACCGTTCAGGAGCGGTCGGCCTGACGACCGCTCCTGCCCCGTATCCCATGTACTGTGGCCTGATAAAAGCTTTTCAATTCAGTCTATCGTCAGTAATGCACGGCTCTGTCGGTCATGTTCAACGAAGTGATTAATTGTGGCATACCCAATTGGGATTAGAGAGTTAATTACGGTGTTCTGTTCCGTTGTACTTTTTTTTTTTTTTTTGTCGACGGAGTGGGTGTCCGGATCAAGTCCGTAAAGGCGGCCCGACTAATCCCACTTCAACCCGGCCCAGCGCCCCAACCAGACCTAGCACGTTAGATGCACGGAGAAGCCGATGTTGCTGCGGAGGTTCGACCCCAGGACCTGACGGTCCCGAGGAAGAGGCGCCAACCACCAGCCCATTCACGTGGGGGCCTGTTCCGTTGTACTTGTATGGGCAGCTTTTCTTGCTGTTGGGGACCACTCCTTACTTACATATTGAAAATTTTTTTAGACACAATAAAATCTATTTTGGACGTACTCCTACTCTATATTAGGTTAGGACGAGAGCGGAGCTAAAGAGATTTAAGGAAAACTCGAAAGGAACTAAATTATCACTAGCCCAAATGAGTGCCTACGCACTTGCCAGTAAACTTTTCCAGGAAAGCCTGGATTTTTTATAATGCGGGCCAAGAGATTTGAAGCTATATCTTTGACCCACATCCAAGTAGAGATTCAAAACTTTTTTAGTAACAAACTTTTTCACGTTTTACCATTTCTTGCTTATACATTGTTTAAATTGGAATTTTTTGCAGAAAAATTTTATGTTTTTAATGAACATATTTTTCAGTCGCCTTTTTATCACACAAATATTATTGCTATAGTATTTTTTCTACAAAAATTCCAAAAAAAATAGCAATCCAAACGAGAAATTGGGATTAGAGAGGAAATATGACTAAATTAGAGAGTGACGAGTATGATCTTAAGTTTAGAATAGTAAATTATCAAAAATAACGAATGGTTTAAAGCAAAAAAGGGTAAATGGTGAATGAAAATTGATAAGTAACTGTTATTAGAAGGTTTTTCAGAGCAATATAACAATCGACTTTTTTATGAAAACCTGCATGGATTCCTCCAAATTTTTAAACCAGTACTCCTAATGTTAAACTATTAGAATTAATAGTTTCAAAACTAAAGTGCAAATCGATAGTAGTTTGCAGTGCATGTTGCAATTAATCCAAAACTTGATCGCGCCGTGTGATTTCTCTTTGTTATACATGTGAATATACAAATACCTAATTGTTTACGCAATAATTTAGAACATCAACGTGTTTCACCTTCTTGGGTAATTACTGTTGGAAAAATGGCTATATCCATTGTAGAGTGAATGAGAAAATTGTTCTCATAATGACACTCTTAAAAGAATCCAAGGATAATTATCTATCATTCATGTACATAAGATTCATGTATATTAATTATTGATACATGATTTTGGATAGGATTCATGTACTTAATACATGATTTTGGAGTTATCTTATTGAGATACATGTATGTACATGAATGTGGTACTTTGATAAACGTGAAGAAGTTCGCTGTGGTGAAGAAAGTTTGGTACTGACATATTCACCTTTAATCCGTTGTATCCTGGGAGACAGACGCCTACTTAACCTCGAGCACTCTACCTGGAGGGGGCGAATCTATTTTAAGGAAATTGTGCTCACAAGTCTCGGATTGTTATTATTGTTATTTTCGATTATTTCTTTCTTTCTAGGTTGTATTTACTCTTCTCTATAGTGTATCAGCCTATTTTTTATTATTTCACTAACAATTACTAATTAGTGTAACACTTTTCTTCCAAAGGAAAACGACAATAGATGCGACACAACATCAATGAAATACTAAAAAAGATAAGGAGAGGACCTGGCCAAGAAAGTCCTTTGCTGCGGGAGATGTCAATTTCTACCCGCATTTTGCATTCTAGCATTTACATTTGCTTTCCAATTAAGGTAGTGTAATTTAGGGGTGGCAATTCGGGTCCAAATCAGGTTGGCAGGTCGGATTCGGGTCAACCCGCCAGAAAATCTGTTGACCCGAACCCGACCCGCCAACCCGTGACGGGTCAGGTATGCTGACCCGAACCCGAAAATTTCAGGTTGACGGGTTGGCGGGTCGACCCGAAATGACCCGAAACTTAATTTTAATTTATTAATTTATCACTGTAATTTCTAATAAAATCAATTTCTCACAAAACTAATTACATAATCAAGTAATAAAATTTTAAATAAGTAATTCCAAACCAAATCTAAAATAAATTAAACACCGTAAAAGTGTTTTATCCCAAACAAAATATAAAATAAATTAAAACAGTATAAAAGTAAAAAATAATATAATATATTATTTATCCAAATATAATAATTTCAACTTCACACAAATTAAATAAATTCATTTATGATTAAGTAATTAATGCCTTTGAAAAAAAGAATAACTTAGGTTAGTTAGATAAAATTATTTTTATATTTATTAAATTATTTTTAATTCGTAAACGGGTCATATCGGGTCATATCAGGTCACCACGGGTTGACCCGAAATCGACCTGTTTTCTTTTCGGGTGCATCGGGTCCAACCCGATTCTGACCCGAATTCCCAAAACCTCAACCCAAACCCATTAATTTCGTGTTAGATTCGTGTCGTGTTTTCAGGTCGTGTCGAAAATTGCCACCCCTGGTGTAATTAGGCCAAGAACAGTGAATTAGTTCAGGATTTTTCCGTTTAAAAACACCTTCTGATTAGTCGGCCTGTCCTTCATTTTATAAGAGGTATGATGTAGGAGCTAACCTTCCATAACATTAAAGGTGTCAAAATGGGTGGCTCAAATGGGTTTGAACCGGTAATAATTTGGTAATGAGTATAATTAGGTTAACCCATTTGTATTGATTAAATAAATGAGTATGGGTATATCCAACAACCTATTTATGAGTCAATTAAAATTTTAATTTTTTTATTTTTTGCATATTGCTTAATAAGAAATAACTATATTTTATTATTGTTAGATTGATAAAAAAAAATTCAAATTTATTTGCTTAATGCTCACTAAGAGTGCGGATTTGGACAGGTTATTAGTGCACAGATTTGGACAAGGTCAACATAATTGGATTGTAACTGAGCATTGGTTTACATGCCTAAATTCCACTTAATTTATTATGTATATACACATATTAATAATTATTATTCTCTCTTATATTTATACACTTTCTATAATTGGTTTTATCTTTCCCAAAATCTAACATTTGATATATGTCTTAACAAGTCTCCAATGACCACCCATTAAACAGACCTTACTA